GTACTCAGAGAGATGGTTATGAAGAGTTCTAGCTTCTGGAATATAAAACTGTGTAGTCGGGTCAAAACGAAGCGACCCTTCGAGGAATATATCACCTTCATTTTCATGGTCGAGGAATAAACCAAGCAAGAAACCAGTGCGAAGCAGGTAGCAAGAATATTCCTCTGAAACGTCGGTCGACTTAAAACGGACTACATGGTATTAGAGCTCACAAGGTAGAACTTTTCATAAAGGAAAGTCACGGAAAAAAAAAAAGATGTCACAATGCCTCCAGTCTCACACAGTTACCTCTTTCCCTGAAGGACCACGAAGCTTATTACTGAACACCTTATTGGGGTCCTTTTCAAACCATTTTTAAACTTTTGATACTGTTTTAAACCTGCGTCGAAGGCCAACACAATAATCTGTTTTGTTTTTATTGAAACGTTTATAAATGTGGTACATCGTTTAGGACATCTGTAATTTGAGTAAGATAAGGTAAATTTATCCATGTAACAGGCCATGGAGGCACATAGGCTTGTGAGACGTCGAGGCTTCCATATTTGTAGACAGTCTGCTCACAGATGGCGGTGATGTTTTCAGTCTTACGCGCCGGCCGCCCTTTACCCTCAGGAAGATCTCTGGTACTCATTTCTATTAAAGGCTGAGTCTACCCCAGGACCATAGTGCATCTGGAAGGATTAGGTAAATTTAAATATCGAATGACCACATCGGAAATCGAACCCATGATCTTCCGGCTTTCACCATAGTACTTCAACCAACTACGTTACCGCGTGCCCTTTTATTTTTTGTGTAGTTTATATAACTGTTTGCAGAGGTTTACCTCCTTCTAGAGGGTATAAAATAATTCGGCGAAACATTAAGGTGTGTGTATGTGCGCATGCGTCCGTGCCCTGCTATTGTCTTGGCGTGTTAATATGTGAAGTTCTCTACTTCTTGGTTAAGCAACGTATTCAATGAACTAAAGCTATTCAGCTCCTTTCGAAGTTACGTATGACACAAAAAGGCAGCAACTGGACAAAAGAAACACGTAAAGCTGTGGTGTGTTTAGCGTCTGTGTATTCAGCACGACTTTGCTTCGAAAGGAACGGAATTAAACAGAACCTCAATTGTCTGCACCCTGCATGCTTCTTATGACGGAAGTGGCGACAGTGACGGATATAAGGAAAATTGTGAATAGGTAATGGAATTGAAGTAAACGCTGTCATGGTCAGTGATAAAGTTCACAACATACAATTGTAATAACTACAACTTCAATGTTGTTTTTTCATCATCATCAGCCTTTCCAGTACTGAGTCTGCTAGGACCTGGTACGAACTTTACAAAACAATTGTTTCAGAGGTCTTCCTGACTTCTTTCCCACCCCTCCTTTTTGGCTGATGTCTTTCTTCGAATCCTGTCACAGCACAACTGTCAATACTTTCTTTCCATGTTTTTCTGGGTTGTTTTACAAATTATACTATTTGTGCAATTTTAGCTCTTTCATAGTTTTTTTTGTCTTATGACCCCAAAGTGTGTATCTCACAGCCCTCACGAAACCGTTTCTGTTTATACCCCCTGTCATCTGTTCATTTTATTGGATGTGAATCACTACCATAATAATAGTAATGGGGCACGCGGTAGCGCAGTTGGTTGAGACCTATGCTAGAAGCCGGAAGGTCGCGGGTTCGGTTCCCAATGAGGTAATTAGATTTTTCAATTTACCTAATCTTTCCAGCCGCACTATGACCTTGGAGTCGGCTCAGCCTCTAACAGAAATGAGTACCAGGAATCTTCCTATGGGTGTAGAAGGTGGCCGGCGTATAAAGCTGACAACCTCACCCCCATCTGTGAGCCGATTGTCTAGAAAATGTGGGAACCTCGACGTCTCACAAATGTATGGGCCTCCACAGACTCTTACAGGGACAGTTTTATCTTACCATATAAGTAATAGATGGGTCTGGTGTGTTATGAATTCATATTTTTCGATAAGTGAAATCTAGTGAATATTTGAATACTCGATTTAAAATTAGAAGCATACTCGTACTAACAACATTTTTTACATTAAAACGGCTACTTTTATCCTTTATAAGGTAGTGCTTAATATCTCAGGTAACCGAAAGTATTAATTTTTGCAATACCTTATAATTCATACCTCGCTTCTAATTGGTCCCATCCCTCTAAAAGCCTTAATTTTATTTTTCTTCAGTATTTATATTGTAACATGGATGGCCAAAACGTCTCTAGGCAACGACCTTTAAACAACCTTCAGTCGCATAAGCGCACTCAACAATAGGATGAATGTTTATATTCCGTTGCTAGGCAACAGCGCGCCAATAGGTTGGCGAGATGGCCATCACGTGACTGGTTTTCTATGCGGTCGGCGCCGCAACAGCTGTTACTTGTATACAAAGTCGCGGTAAACACTCCCTACAACAATGGAGAATGTTTCCTATGTGGTCGTTGCGGAGGTTATATAACGACAATTAGAAACAGAACAGATATCAAACCCGTGTGGAGGAGGGATCGAATACTTCCACCGTGACCTTGCGAGTCGTAGGAGGCGACGAAACGGGAAGTTTCAAATCTGAGAGAGTAAAATATGGTCGCGAGTCCATAGGGACTCGGACCCGAGAAAGACTGCGCTGGCAAGGGCCAGCAGCATATACAAAAGACAGACCCATCCTCTTGTCAGAGAAGGCGCCCCACAAAAAACAAGACCGGAACTGTCAAACAGTAATAAATATCTGGTTATGAGCCCCAGACTGGGCTCGACACCAAGACTTACTGACTGACCGTCAGTCGCAATGTGACTTTACTTTGACTTTGATTGGTTGATTGTTTAAGTGACAGTGAGAGAGTTCTCGGTGGTAGATAGCCACGGATAGTTCGCCGTGTAATACTTCATGTGTGATTAGAAGGCTTCTATCATGTGTAATATTTGGAGTGATTTGAAGCGCTTGTTCCTGTGTTTTAATTGCATTTCCGGGGCAGGACTAGTGTGTGCGTGCGTGTAGCAATAAATTATGAAGTGTGGAATCAGAGATAGCGCTGTAATTAAATATGATTAAGAGAGATTGTAACCAAAGATCTAATAAATGTAATCATCAGAACTAGAGCCCGTCATTCTCGTCACGCGTACCGCCCTACACGTGACAATGTTGATAGAAATATCTGCAAATTATACATACTAAGTATCTTAGATTATCTTTAGATTCGGATTTTCTCATCCGTCACTAACATAACCTCAATTATGATTTTTCTACTAATTGAGGTTATCCAGCGTACGACAAATCTCTGTTTCCGAATTATTTTCTTCATATATATGGTGAATAATGGGAGACTATAACCTTGCCTCACATCTGTTTTAGTTTCTATTTTGTAACTTTGTGTTGTTCATTAGAATTTCTCCGACGTTTCTGTCGAACGTATTGTTTCCATCTTCAGAATCGGAGAGTGGGCCAAGCAGGAAACCAGCAGTAAACAGGCGGCAAGTATTCATGACTGCCTTACTTTTACATTCTGAAGATGGAGACTATATGCTCCTCCGAAATGTCTACGGAGTTTACCAAACTGTGCGGCGTTACAACGTAGAAGTACAAGTCTGAGAACCTCATATCTAATGAAAGACGTCAGAAAAATAGATAGGGAGAGAGAATGACAGAAGACGGAGTTAAATAAAGGAGGAGCATCATAATTTGTATCCTATTCTTCACCAAACACATATATTTAACGTGATAAAATCAAGGAGGGTGGTATGGGCGGAGCATGTAGCTCGCATGAAGAAAAACATACAACAATTTAATCACAAGACCCGAAAGGAAAAATGAGCTGAAAGATCCAAATATAGATGGGAGGATAATATTGTGACGTGTTGCGCTATGGGGACACCCCCTCCCTCCCCAGCGGTGACGTAACACGGGATGCCGCCGTTGCAACTCAGCAGTAAACAACTCCCGACAGCGTTGCTAGGCTGTCGGCAAACACGGCGTCAGACAACAGTGGTGCCTATTACGTAATTGTTTTCTCTGTTGTCCGTAACGGGGCTAAATAAGGAGCAGCGAAGACTATTCAAGTTAGTTACGAGTTAGCCAGGCAGTCAACCAGTCAGTTGTAGTCTAGCATTTGCAGTCTAGTATTTGTGATACTGCCAATGGCAGCAATTGTGAGATTGTAAACTGTGTGATTGTAAGAGCGAGTGTGGAATAAAATTCGCTATATCCAATACGGCGTGAAGTTATTTGTCGCGTTATACACCCAACACGCGACAATTTGGTGTCAGAATTGGTTTTACGAACTTTAACACTTCACAATTTCGTCGCAGTTCATCGACTGAAGCGGTTACAATATTAAAATGGACCTTAATCAAATGTATTGTGAGGGTGTACACTGTTTTCCTCTAACGCGGGATAGAATACAGTGGCAGGCCGATGTGAGTATGGTATTGAACATTCGGGTCCCCCATAAATATGGAAATTTTATGAATAGCTGAGAGATTACTAAATTCTCAAGAACTCCTTTGCATGGAATTTGTTTTATGTAATATTATATTAAGGTAATTGTATGGGCTGTTTTACGGCGTTATGATTAGGCAGACTATATAGCATCGAATGGCAGAGTGAATAATGAATGATGAATCGGAAAGAATATGGAAGGAAGCGGTCATGCCGTAATCGAGGAACTCTTCGTACATTTGCCTGGAGAGACTGAGGAAAACCATAAAACACCTCTCACCCGACCGAGATTTTAAACGAGCACCTTTCAGACACAAGACTGTAGCGTTACCGCTAAATTAACCTGCTTGGTGATAAAGCCAGGAAAAGAGATTCATTGCTAAGATTGTGGTACTTCAGCGGGAAGCACTGCTCTGCTCATCCAAGCGTCTAGTGAAGCAAGCCTGTCTTGCTCATCCGCGAAATGCTTGCTGTGAGCCAGACAGACGTAGCAAGCAGAACTCGAGTGACGAGACAAAGGAGATAAGTTTCTAGTCAAGACCACTTTTGTAGTAACTTTACCTGAAGAAGCGCTGCGTGAGGTTCCTTTATACTTGTACTTTTGTAAACATCCAGCTTCAGCCATGGAAAAATAAACTTTCCTCCCAGTGGTCTCCAACTTGTTTCTTTGTAGTAACGTGATACATTATATCAGTTGGCACTTGTTATATCAGCAAGTCTGAAACAGCAGAGACGTCAAGATTTCAACTAACACGACTCCTTGCTCATTGACGGTGCAATCAGAAGTAGTGGGTGGTTTCTATCCAACTTGCAAAAAACTTGCAACATTTTATGCAAGTTAACTTTGCTTGTCTTAAGAATTAGCAGGCATTTTTTCCCCACATAAAATACGATTATCTTAAAACCGCAGGAATAGCGACGTTTAAGTTAGTAGGTTGTTCTTTGCGATGCAACGTTTTGGAATATCTGATGTTATCTTACTGAATTGAAGAACTGCTAGGATATTTGGGAAATTGAATAATTTATCTTGTCTCTAGTTTAGTTTAGTTATTTAGAGAGGGTGGATTTCCCCATGCACCGCGACCAGTTTGATCTATTGTGATTCCCTCTATGATATTCTACCAGTCTCTATACCCTACCGATAAATGGTGCGTACCATCAGTCCCGCCGAGCAAGCGAGTTCGGCCACTTGCTTAGCGGTATCTATAATGCTTCCCCCATATATCAGAGGCCTTAGAGACTATTGTTGGGCGGGAAACGTCCTGGAATTTGGCTCAGTGATCCCCTTTGGGGATATGAGGTTCTTTTACGTGCCGTAAAGTTACGACACGGGACCCAGCTTAAAGTCCCTCCCGGAGGCGGAATTTTTCCGCCCTTAAAAATTCGACGACCTCCGCCGGGTATCTGAACCCACGTACCACGAGTCATGAGGTGGGAACGTTACCTCTAGACTACGGAGGCCGCGTATCTTGTCTCTAAGTTGTCACTTTCTACGCTGAACATCTGCAGATTCTTTAACCCCTTTATAATATAAGTACAGTAGAACTTGGTTATAACGTCATCAAAGGGACCTAAAAATAGTGTCGTTATAAACGAATGTCGTTGTAACCGAAATGGGCACTTCCACAGTAGCCTTATGTTAGTCACGTAAAAATCTACCAAAAACCGAGTTAAAATGTTGCATTTTTTAGTGAAATACATAGTTAAGTACAGACTAACGTAACATTAACGTGGAATTGCCCAAATGTGTAATATCAAAGACATATTACAGCGCTTTTCACTGACAATACACACCGCACTAATACTGTATATTAAAGGTAGGCCTACTCACCAAATTACAGTAGATTACATCAATTGTTGTGCCTTACTGTACCTAGATACGAGTACAGTAATCAGTTATCTTCATCTGTTTCCTGTTACTTGCCCAATACACACTTTCTAAATTACGTTCAATGTCCATATCAGAGAAATTCAGGAATGAAAATGACGTTACATACGAGGTTGATGCATTTGTGCATGTCGTACTAAGCAAGGTATAAAAACAGTTGCTTTATGAGGAATTAGTTCGTACCATTGAATATTTGACGCAATAGACAAGGTGTCGCAGAAACCGATGTTGCTATAACCAAGTTTTACTGTATTAGTATGACCACAAGCTTGGCCGCCTTTTCAGCTTCTCGATCCTATATATACAGTCGGTAGGACTCCTCGGACGGGGGATCAGCTATTCGCAAAGCCTATACCCACACAGAGCAACACAAACACAGAATAAACGCACACAATACAGACATCCATAACTTCATCGAACCCAAGGGCGAAGACAGTTCATGCCTTAGACCGCGCGGCCATTGTGTTCGGCATAAGTATGAATTTTGGTCCACCAACTGCTTCCAGGTCAATGTCATCACAGGCCCGCATGTTGTACACACACACACACAAAACAAATTTGTAAGAGCCAGGTTTATCATTATTATTAAGCAATTTCGTATTACCGTAATATTTTCTGTAAAGTTTTAACAGGTTATAGAGTAGGTCACGAACGAAAGAACAAGTAGGTTTCATTACGTCTATTCTGTGACTACTTCTCATATCTTGATATGGATAATTGAAATGTAGTTTATTGTTTAAAGGAGACAGTTTATGATTGACTATTTGTGAGTGATGTGACTGGGAGGTGGCGTTAAATGTCGGCTTCGAAATAAGATTCGAGAATATGTATGACTGGAAAGGAGTACTGGAGATAGCAGGGGACAATAATAATACGCTGGACTATGCAACATATGATGAGATGTCCCGCTGAATTATCAATGGTTGCTACATAAGTGAAGAGAGGAACAAATAAATACAGTTAAGGTAAAGTTGTCCCTGTGCTTAACTAATTAGGCAATACGCCATGAAGGTGGATGGAGGAGTGGATGTATACAGTCACATTCTTTTTCGTCCTCGGCACTAGCTGGAGCTGAGTGGACAGCTTCACGCCCCGGCCGCTTTATTCTCGGGGAAAGAGCCGTCGGTAACCATTGGATAGGAGGCTGGGTGGACCTCAGAGCCGGTCTGGATGAGGTGAAGAAGAGAAAATTCTTGACCCTATCTGGGCTTGAACTCCGATCCCTCCGTCGTTCAGCCAATAGCCAGTCGCTATACCGACTGTGCTATCCCGGCTTATACTACTACTACTACTACTACTACTACTACTACTACTACTACTACTACTACTACTACTACTACTTCCACCACCGTTACTATTACTCGACTATTACTCGACAGGTGCAAAAGAATTTTCTCTTCTCCACTGCGCTCAGACCTGTTCTGGGGCCCACCAAGCCTTTTATCCAGTGGACACCCGGGGTTGTTTCACGGGGATAAAGTGGCCAGGGCGTGAAGCTGACCACTCACCTCTATATAAAGCCGACGTCAAAAATGCGTGCATCTGTATATCTACTCTCCCATGTATCTTCGTGATATTGTGCATAATGGACAGAGCACACGGATAATTTAACCTTTACCGTTATTGCTGCAGTTATTATTGTTATTATTATTATTATTTATACCACCAATATTGCTGCTACTGCGACTACTGACAGTACATTGTACTACTACTACTACTACTGCTGCCGCACATTTCATACATGAAATGTTCGTCATTTGAAACAAGTTTCTGCCTTAGTCCTTTAAATCAAGGTTTGCTCTTATGACAGACTCAAATTTAAATTTGCAACAGTGCAAAACACGTTACAATATGTTACTCTTACGTAGACGAAATATTTCTTCATATACAACATAGAACAATCATGTCTTACTGTCTGGTTTGTACAATAGTTGTTTGGATGTCAGCATCTTATTACATCATTAGGCAATGGGCAAAAGTCACAGCGTACCAGTATGACCCCCTGAGGGCAAATGGATGGAAGGAGTCATTTTCTTTCATTCACGAAATTTGCGTGTGTATAACTTTTCATGCTGTAAACGAGAGAGAAGGAAAGAAAGAAAGAAAGAAAAACATAAGAGAGTACGCTAAGAAAATAATTAGGTGTTCTAACAACCTGTCTTGTGCTGTATAGGCTGGTTCTGAAGGGCAACAAAAACTCCTTCATCTTAAATTTGAACTAGGAACAGGTTATGCTATGTCAGTTTCTCTGTCTCTTCGTCTCCATTAATGAGTGTGTCGTACGCTTTTCGCACTTGCCGATTTGTTCCATTCTTCGGGCTGCCCGAAGACCCTCTGTCTACAAGGGTCTATTTGGTGTCCTGAGTAACCCCACCTGTCGTTTGTTACGCTGAAGTGTGAGATGAAGAACTGAAACTATCCAGTGTATCTCGCCTTGAAGCACAGCTCCACATATCGAAGACCTTCTGTAATGATTGCATTTAAATTGTTCGGGAACCTTTTGTCTTCTTGTCTGTTGTCCAAAAACATAAAAGTTAGAATATATAAAACTATAATTTTGCCTGTGGTTCTGTATGTGTGTGAAACTTGGTCTCTGACATTAAGGGAGGAACATAGACTGAGGGTGTTTGAGAACAGAGTGTTGAGGGGAATATTTGGACCGAAGAGAGATGAAGTGACAGGAGGTTGGAGAAAACTGCATAATGAGGAGCTTCATAACTTGTACTCTTCTCCAAGTATAATTAGAATGATCAAGTCAAGGAGGATGAGGTGGGCAGGTCATGTAGCACGAATGAGGGAGTCGAGGAATGCGTATAGGATATTGGTGGGAAAGCCAGAAGGAAGAGACCACAGTGAAGACCAAGGCGTAGGTGGGTGGACAATATTAGAATGGATCGTAGAGAGATAGGATGGGATGGTACTGATTGGATTGATCTGGCTCACTATAGGGACCAGTGGAGGACTCTTATGAACACGGTGATGAACCTTCGGGTTCCATAAAATGCTGGGAAATTATTGAGTAGCTGCAGAATTGGCGGCTCCTCAAGGGCTCAGCTCCATGAGCAAGTAAGTGTCTTCTTGTTCCCCGGAGGGTGGTAGTCCCATGTTTTCCTCGGATGGTGCAGGCGATGAGGACACTTTCAGTACATTTTCAAGGATCGAACCTCGGTTGGAACACAAAAAGAGGCATCTCAAAATGTGAAACCCAGTCTTTTTTGTGTTGGATTTCAGGGCGGTCACGGTGATCGAAGTTCCTTGTGTCTTACCTCTTACGTATACTAGAAGACATCGTGTATTCTCAGTTCAGTGCCGCCGATATGACTCAAATTTTGGGTTTAATTTCATAAGCATCACTGATGGGAGTTGGTTCACATGCAGTGCCAACAAGCGGTAGAGATCTGAACCCAGAGAAACACTATTATAACTCCTTCAACTCCTCCGGCAAGAAGCACTCTTCCTCTAACATAATACAATTACCAGGACTGTGGTGTCACACCCCGCAAACCCATACTGAACAAGGTGACGGGGCCGGTTCTGGCCGTTTCACGTTCTCTCCGTCAATAGCAGTGACAGTGATCCCTCAAACACAAGCAAAGCAGGCTTCTCATGCCCACTCTTTAGTTACTTTGCTGGCGAGGACCACCACGTACAGACCCGCGCGGAGGACTAGATTTACTTACTTACTTACGGAGCTGAGCCATTCTTGAGGAAAAGCCAAATATTCTGCTACTCAAGAATTTCCCAGCATTTTATGGAACCCGAAGCTTCATTACCGTGTTCATAAGAGCTTTCCACTGGTCCCTATCCTGACCCAGATCAGTCCAATCCAT